CATTTAGCTTGACATGTATTTAACCGATTTAAGATTGAAGTTCAAATAGAGTAAATTCGACATTGATAACCGAACGCTCCTCTGTGGCTAAATCGGTTAAACGCACGTCAAAATAGATAAAGAACGCTGTAGTTCTAAAGACAGGGCGTGCGCAATCATAGCTCTCCACAACGTGCTGTTTTTGGAGGTCTTTGCCTTTTTACTATCTGTCATATTGCTTAGTCTGTCATATATTTATAAAAGTTAGGTAAATCTGTTTCTCTCTTGTCTTCAATATTTCCTGTGAGTGTTAAATATTCTAACATTTTTATCCTCATAATGCGTGCTAGAATTGGCAACGATCAATTCCCAATGTTTTTTGTTTTTTTTTATATCCACTTTGCTAAAATCTTCCTCATGGCTCACACTTTCCGTTCATGGTATTCTCAATATCTTTCTGTAGGGCCACGTTTCTGTTACGGTAAGCCACTTCCTCAATTGTGTGGAAACTGCCCAGCATTCACTTCCATATAGCGGGATTGATATTCCATCGCAGTTCAGCACCTTTTCCTGTGACTTAACGAGATTGTCGTGTTGCTTAATACTTTGCTTAGATTTTGGATCGCATCTCCCGCTATTGCAATGCGGCTTTGCGTTTTGGTGACATTTTCCGGATATTTGACCTTCTGTAAATTGTTTCGATTTTGACATCTCCATTTAGAAGAAAAAATATATAATTTGAAAAAAATAAAATGTATATAAATGTCAGGACGGGACGATTGCAAATTGTAGTGAGCATGGACACATACACACACAAACACACACACACACACACACATATATATATATATATATATATATATATATATATATATATATATATACACACACACACATATATATATATATATATATATATATATAAAAGTGAACATTGAAGTCAACACTCAGAGGCGACAGGCTGATTCATTCTGGACACAATCAGGGCGGCCTGACGATAGCGCCTAGCATGAAACAGCCTGTCGCCACTGAGTGTTGACTTCAATGTTCACTTTTATATTTATATTTACATACGATCTAACCCTGGCATTGAGCACTTAAAAATACCGCACCTTAAAATTATATTTCTTAATATATATATATATATATATGTATGTATGTATGCATACACCCCCGAAAAAATAAAATTTGGTCTAGCACTTTAGAAAGTGAGCGCGAATTTGTGAATGTTACTGCTGATAATGGAAAGTTTTTCTATGAATCGAGCGCTCTGAATCACTGGCGTGTTTATTCAAAAATGAATACGCAAAATTTCACCTTCTACTCTGCCGGGAGCTGATAGCTGATAGCTTAGGGGAAAAAAATTTCCGACTGATGTCAAATCAGTTGGGTTTCGATCGTGGTTTAAGGCATTCGGATGTCTAGCCACAATATTCCAATGCGGCTTTGCGTTTTGGTAACATTTTCCTGATAATTGAACATCGGTAAATTTGATTTGATTTTACATCTTCATTTAGAAGAAAAAAATATAAAATTTTAAAAAAACTATATAAATGTGGAGACGGACGTGACGATTGTAAATTGTAGAGAGCAATGAACATCTAAAATGGACACACACACACACACATATACATATATATATATATATATATATATATATATATATATATACGCCCCCGAAAAAATAAAATTCGGTCGAGCACTTTAGAAAGAAAGCGCGAATTTGTAAACAGTAAATGCTACTGCTGATAATGCAAAGTTCTTCTATGAATCGAGCACCGGGAGTCAATGGCGACTCCTACTTCGTCTCCTATATTTTTCCACTTCTCATTCAACTTCACAGATATTTATATATGTCGAACGTAACTTCTGGAAATTTATATTCGTGCATCGTTTTTTTTTATCGATGCTAGAGTTATGTTATTCATTCAGAGATCAACGCGAGAAATGTCAATTCTCGATGAAGAAACGAGATTTGAGAACGTGTAACGGCGAGAATTGCTTCGTATCACAAGTGATAAAACATTTCTACGCGTTCTTAAGCTGCGTCAAAACTCGTGGGAGAATCCGTTATTTAAACTGTCATGACGGTGACAGATTGTCCCTGATCTTGCATTGTGGGAGAGATGTGTGTCTTCGACTCTTTCTTTTAGGGAACTTTTCTTTCTGTCTTTATTGTTTCTGTCGACTTTCTCTAATGTAGAATATATAAAGAGCCATGTTCAAACGGCACGGAATGACCCCAGGATGCAGAAGGTTAAAATGAAGAGAAAACAATGACTTTACTTTCACGTGAGGAGTATAAAAATAATTTTCATGTTCTCTGTAAAAATAAGTAGAGAATAATATGAATAAGGGTAAAAACGATGATGATGTGATGATGTCTTCGAGAAAAGGATGAAAAAGACGCCGAAATTTTAGAAGAGGCAGGAGGAGGAGGAAAAGTGCAGGGAGAGAAAAAGTAAAAGAATGGGAGAGGGACAGCAGAAAAAGGAAAGGAATAGGGAAGTGATAAGAAGAAGAAGAAGAAGAAGAAGAAGAAGAAGAAGAAGAAGAAGAAATTTTAGAAGAGGGAAGAGGAGGAGGAAAAATGCAGGGAAGAAGAAGAAGAAGAAGAAGAAGAAGAAGAAGAAGAAATTTTAGAAGAGGGAGGAGTAGGGAGAAAAAAGTGCAGGGAGAGAAAAAGGAAAAGGATGGGAGATGTACAGCAGAAAAAGGAAAGGAATAGGGAAGTGCAGGAGAGAAAAAGAAGAAGAAGAAGAAGAAGAAGAAGAAGAAGAAGAAGAAGAAGAAGAAGAAATTTTAGAAGAGGGAGGAGTAGGAGGAAAAGTGCAGGAGAGAAAAAAGGAAAAGAATGGGAGATGTACAGCAGAGAAAGGAAAGGAATAGGGAAGTGAGAAGAAGAAGAAGAAGAAGAAGAAGAAGAAGAAGAAGAAGCAGAAGAAGAAGAAATTTTAGAAAGGGAGGAGTAGGAGGAAAAGTGCAGGGAGAAAAAAGGAAAAGAATGGGAGATGTACAGCAGAAAAGGAAAGGAATAGGGAAGTGAGAAGAAGAAGAAGAAGAAGAAGAAGAAGAAGAAGAAGAAGAAGAAGAAGAAGAAATTTTAGAAAAGGGAGGAGTAGGAGGAAAAGTGCAGGGAGAGAAAAGGAAAAGAATGGGAGATGTAACAGCAGAAAAGGAAAGGAATAGGGAAGTGAGAAGAAGAAGAAGAAGAAGAAGAAGAAGAAGAAGAAGAAGAAGAAGAAGAAGAAGAAATTTTAGAAGAGGGAGGAGTAGGAGGAAAAGTGCAGGAGAGAAAAAAGGAAAAGAATGGGAGATGTACAGCAGAGAAAGGAAAGGAATAGGGAAGTGAGAAGAAGAAGAAGAAGAAGAAGAAGAAGAAGAAGAAGAAGAAGAAGAAGAAGAAGAAATTTTAGAAGAGGGAGGAGAGGAGGAAAAGTGCAGGGAGAGAAAAGGAAAAGAATGGGGAGATGTACAGCAGAGAAAAAAGGAAAGGGAAGTGAGAAGAAGAAGAAGAAGAAGAAGAAGAAGAAGAAGAAGAAGAAGAAGAAAAGAAAGGGAAGAGGAGAAAATGCAGGAGAGAGAAAAAGGAAAAGAGTGGGAGATGGGAGAGGAGGAAAAGAAGAGAAGGAAGAGAAAAGGAAAAGAATGGGAGATGTACAGCAGAGAAAAGGAAAAAAGGAATACAGGGAAAGGAAAGAAGAAGAAGAAGAAGAAGAAGAAGAAGAAGAAGAAGAAGAAGAAGAAGAAATTTTTAGAAGAGGAGGAGAGGAGGAAAAGTGCAGGGAGAGAAAAAAGGAAAAGAATGGGAGATGTACAGCAGAAAAGGAAAGGAATAGGGAAGTGAGAAGAAGAAGAAGAAGAAGAAGAAGAAGAAGAAGAAGAAGAAAGAAGAAGAAGGAAAATTTTAGAAAAAGAATGGGAGGAGCAGAGAAAGGAAAGGAATAGGGAGAGAAAAGAAGAAGAAGAAGAAGAAGAAGAAGAAGAAGAAGAAGAAGAAGAAAGAAATTTTAGAAGAGGGAAGTAGGAGAAGAAAAAGAAAAGAAGAAGATGAAGAAAAAGAAAGAAAGGAAGAAGAAGAAGAAGAAGAAGAAGAAATTTTAGAAGAGGGAGGAGTAGGACGAAAAGTGCAGGGAGAGAAAAAGGAAAAGAATGGGAGATGTACAGCAGAAAAAGGAAAGGAAAGGGAAGTGAGAAGAAGAAGAAGAAGAAGAAGAAGAAGAAGAAGAAGAAGAAGAAGAAGAAGAAGAAATTTTAGAAGAGGGAGGAGTAGGAGGAAAAGTGCAGGGAGAGAAAAAGGAAAAGAATGGGAGATGTACAGCAGAAAAAGGAAAGGAATAGGGAAGTGAGAAGAAGAAGAAGAAGAAGAAGAAGAAGAAGAAAAGAAGAAGAAAGGAGGAAAAGAAGAGGGAAAAAAAAGGAAAAGAATGGGAGGAAAGCAGAGAAAGGAAAGGAATAGGGAAGTGAGAAGAAGAAGGAAAAAGAGAAGAAGAAGAAGAAATTTTAGAAGAGGGAGAAAAGGAAAGGAAAAGGAAAGAATGGGAGAAGAAAAAAGAAGAAAGGAAGAAGAAGAAGAAGAAGAAGAAGAAGAAGAAGAAGAAGAAGAAGAAATTTTAGAAGAGGGAGGAGTAGGAGGAAAAGTGCAGGGAGAGAAAAAGGAAAAGAATGGGAGATGTACAGCAGAGAAAGGAAAGGAATAGGGAAGTGAGAAGAAGAAGAAGAAGAAGAAGAAGAAGAAGAAGAAGAAGAAGAAGAAGAAGAAGAAATTTTAGAAGAGGGAGGAGTAGGAGGAAAAGTGCAGGGAGAGAAAAAGGAAAAGAATGGGAGATGTACAGCAGAAAAAGGAAAGGAATAGGGAAGTGAGAAGAAGAAGAAGAAGAAGAAGAAATTTTAGAAGAGAGAGGAGTAGGAGGAAAAGTGCAGGGAGAGAAAAAGGAAAAGAATGGGAGATGTACAGCAGAGAAAGGAAAGGAATAGGGAAGTGAGAAGAAGAAGAAGAAGAAGAAGAAGAAAAAGAAATT